AATAATCTCTTCCACGTGCCTAGAAGAAAAATCCTCCTTATCAAACAAAAATATTATGCAGAGCATGCAAATCACAATTAGAGAAAGACAACATAGTCTCGTGTGTTTGTGAAAATATAAAGAAATACGGCATGCATTTGAAGTATTTTCAACAACATTTTTTGGAAAAAGAAAATCAAATTGCCTTATCAAACAAAAAGACTTGAACTTCATTAAAATTACAAAAAAAAAAAAAAGGGAAAATAGGTACTTCATTAAAAGCCACATACGAATGTACATAGTAAGTACTAACGACGGCCTCATTACATGAAGCCTAAAGGACAATAATTTTGCCTTACGTTTTAAATTAGGGATTTGTACTTAATTTTAGCTTTGGGCTCCGTTTACAGTCTTTAATAAAGACACTTTGACTAACGGATCCCGCCTATGACCGAAATAGTTCATCTTCACTAACGGAAACCCTTTGCTAACTTTCATTGGTGGCTGGCCGTTGCCCGTTAGGGTAGTAAAGCTAAAAAGACGTTGACCAAGGGCAAAGTGACAACAATTTTACTTTTGTTCGGAATACCAGAGTACCTTTTCTCAAATACCTTTCATTATAAATTTTTGTTTGTAAATTTTGATTATAAATTCATTTTCATAGGTCCTCATTCCCAAATTCTCATTGCATTCTCCCTAATTTATTTTCATAGCTCACAAGTCATCTTCCACTCAAAAGTAATTTAGAATAATACTTAGACGTTTATTATTCTCTCAATGAAGGATATATATACTTTACATACATAGTGAATACAAATAGAAAATATATACAAAGTTTCCTAATTCTACTCTTATTAGGCAATTACAATAAATACAAAATCTACTCCTAATGAATAGTTGTCTCACACCAACACTTCCTTTATTATTTAATTTTAGGAAATTGTGCATCTAACTGCTATATAGATGACTTTAGCACTTCGAATGCGGGATAATTGCCTTAACTACTTGAGCTAACATACCCTTACCTTATTGATTTTTAATTATTGTAACAATAAGAGAATAGAGAAAGAGGTGCATACTTGAAGGAGCAATTTTGTATTCCAGTAAAACTTATCACCTCCTAAAATAAGTTCTTCTGTTTTGATGATAATAGAGTATGATTTAGAAACTGGCAATGAACTAGGTAATATATATGTATGAGTAATGCTACTTAGACACACAAAATTGACCACCTTAGCTGACCACCTTATGTGGCAGCTGAGGTGTCTTGCCATGTCAATTAATGAATGTTGACATGTGTATTCTATTTTTTTATTTATTCTTTTTTCAATAATCCTTAAAAAACAAAACAAATTAAAAATTAAAAGACAAATGAAAAAACCCTAGCATCCTGGTTAGTTCCTCACGTCTGTTCTAAACTTCTTCCTCACGTCTCCATAGCACTCCCTTCCTCCATTGTTGCTGCACTCTAGTAGGAGTATCGCTAGAACGTCCTCCATTGTTGTTGTATCCTCAAATACCGTATTCTCTACTCTGCTTCTCTCATTGCCTCCCTTCCTCCACCAAATTTATCCATCCCCATCCTCCACTGTTGTTAGTGAGAGTTACAGTTTTCTCAATAAGAATGAAATTTGCAATCCTAGGAGATTGGGTGGGTTGAAGAATGGAGAGGTTCACTTGTCTATTCTTCTCCAACCGATAGAGAGGTTGAAGATTGAGGTACATACCCAATTTTTAGTGTAATTTTGTTGTAAAAATTGTTGTACAGGTTCTTAGTTTGTGTTTCTTGAATCTGCAATTTGTTTGTTGTAAAAATTGATTAGTGTAATTAGTTGGGTCTAGCTAGCGTGTGGTTCATGGGTACTGGGTGGCTATAATGTCAACTGAATGTGTATTACTGCATATGTATTGTGGGAGCAAATTTCCTCCCACGAGAATATTCGCCTAAAGATTCCTTCGTCTTCTTCGCACCTCTCTCTCCCTGCAAAACAGATCGGAGTAAAAGGACCACACCTGGGGGGTGTTGGCCAAAGGCCCTCCGATGCCTAAGTTAGGATGGGTGTTTCAAGGGAAACCAGGTGGCCGGAGCCGTGTGTGGAGGCCGGAGCCTTGTGTGAGAGAGAGAGAAAGAAGATGGTGGCTAGGGTTTGTGAAGGATAATTTCTGCAGAGTTTCAGTAGGAATTTAGACGTACCTGAACCCTTGTGTGTAGCTAGGTATTTATAGGAGCCTCGGAGGCTAGGGTTTCAGAGGAATAATTACGTAGATGGAAAGGAATTATTCCTCCCCGATTAGGCGAGATTTGATTAATTAGGGATTTGATTTAAATCAAATCCCTAATTGGGGTAGGAATCAAATCAATCCCCATTTTAATTCCTTTCCATCTACGTAATTATTCCTCTGAAACCCTAGCCTCCGAGGCTCCTATAAATACCTAGCTACACACAAGGGTTCAGGTACGTCTAAATTCCTACTGAAACTCTGCAGAAATTATCCTTCACAAACCCTAGCCACCATCTTCTTTCTCTCTCTCTCACACAAGGCTCCGGCCTCCACACACGGCTCCGGCCACCTGGTTTCCCTTGAAACACCCATCCTAACTTAGGCATCGGAGGGCCTTTGGCCAACACCCCCCAGGTGTGGTCCTTTTACTCCGATCTGTTTTGCAGGGAGAGAGAGGTGCGGAGAAGACGAAGGAATCTTTAGGCGAATATTCTCGTGGGAGGAAATTTGCTCCCTTTGATCTGCCATAGTCTTTCTGAAACTTTACTGTGTATCTGACTGACTTCCGTCTTCTGCTTGCAGAGAATGATATCTGCAAGAAGCTCGATCTCGGCCCGGACATGACCAAGGTTCTGTGAATGGAGCTAGTTGTTGAACGAACATCGGAAGGAGGTTGGTGGTCTGCCCCCTGTTGAAGATGTTGGAAGATAGAAGCTGTATGGCTCGGACCTAGATGGTCTGCTAGTTGAGCAGAAGGAGTCCTCAACCAAAATTCCTCCTTTTGCCACGAGAAAGTCTTCCTCAAGGGCAGTCTCGTGTGCTGAGAAGACCCCATAGGAGTGGCTCCTTCTTCATCTGCCGGGATCAAGCACTTCGCTAGTGTGAACAGCAAAAAGGTGAATGCCATGCAGGAGGTCTGGATATTATGCTCAAGTCTCTGCCCAAACTGCTCAAAACCCGTGATCTACCTTATAAAGAAGCTGCAGAGAAGCAAGGTTTGGGTCACCTGCACCGATCCGGGGATCAAACTGAGAGGAATGTGCCTCTGTTCAGCAGTCACGACTCGTCTGCAAAGCTACAAACAGTCAAGCGCGGAGCTAACTCAATGTTGCAAGTTGCAGTCAAGAGAGGTAAAGAGTCATTTGCTCGAGCAAAAAGTCCTTCGGTTGCTCAAACTACCAATTTCGGAGTTGGTGATAGCTCGGCTGGTCAAGTTTGACACTCATGTTGAAGCCACGGAGGCATCCAAGCATGAAATTGCAGCTAATGCATACAAGCTGGGATACTTGGACTACATGAATGGTGCTTCTCCTTGTTGCCCTCTCGAACATGAAGATGGTGAGCAGCTCTATCTTGACTTGCCCCCTGCTCAAAGTGAGCAGATCAATGCTGTGGATGTAGAAGCAGTTGAAGAGCAGGTAGTTGATGAAGCTGCAATGGAGGAAGACGACACTAAAGGTGGCACGGCTGATGAGGTTAGGGCAGATGCGAAAGGAGGAGGCAGCTGGGGTTGCTGAGCAGATGGTGCCGGTTGAGCAGAATGAGGCTCATTTCTTGTTGAACTTGGCTGGTTGGCCTCTTTGCTATGGAATTTTCAGTTCTCTTTCAAACTTCAATTCTCATTGTCTCTTGTAAGTGTATGTCCGGAGGCATAGCGCTTGAACAAGACTCCATTGAATTTGTACTCGAGAAGTAGCTTGCTTACAATGGAGGTAAGGCTTGTAGCCTGCGTGCGCATGTCGGGGACATAGTGCTTGAAAAAGGCTCCATTGAGTTCGTGCTTCGAGGAGCAGCTTGTCTGAAATGCAGGTGGGGCTTGTCGCCTGCGAGTGTATGTCGGTGACATAACACTCGAAAAGTGCTCCACTGAGTTCGTGCTTCGAGGAGCAGCTTGTCTGCAATGGAGGTGAGGCTTGTCGCCTGCGAGCGTATGTCGGGGACATAACACTCAAAAAATGCTCCATTGAGTTCGTGCTTCGAGGAGCAGCTTGTCTGCAATGGAGGTGAGGCTTGTCGCCTGCGAGCGTATGTCGGGGACATAACACTCAAAAAATGCTCCATTGAGTTCGTGCTTCGAGGAGCAGGTTGTTTGCAATGGAGGTTCCATTGAGTTCATGCTTCGAGGTGCAGCTTGTCTGCAATGGAGGTGGGGCTTGTTGCCTGCGAGCGTATGTCGGGGACATAACACTAAAAAAATGCTCCATTGAGTTCGTGCTTCGAGGAGCAGCTTGTTTGCAATGGAGGTGAGGCTTGTCGCCTGCGAGCGTATGTCGAGGACATAACACTCGAGAAATGCTCCATTGAGTTCGTGCTCGAGGAGCAGCTTGTCTGCAATGGAGGTAAGGCTGGTCGCCTGCATGGGTATGTTTGTGGGACATAATGCTCGAAAAAATACTTCATTGAAAAGCTTGCTCTTGTATTGATGTCGGTGTGACTACATCGCTTTATTGAATAAAAGAAATGGACAATATAGATAACATCGAAAGCAGTTTGTCTTCAATGGAAGTAAGGGAGGCCTGTCGCCTGGTAGGAGCCCAGCTGGTGAGCGAAGGGCTTCATGGATAGTATCTCTGAAGGTGGTGTGCATTCCATTGTCTTGGAATTTCCTTTCCTTCTAGAGTGTCAAGGGTGTAACTTCCTCTGCCCCCAGGTCGGCTGATCACGTAGGAGCCTTCCCAATTGGGATTCATCTTCTTTGACCCTTGCCCTAGTGCTGTGATGAAACTCTTTCTGAGCACAAGGTCCCTAGGTCGAAACTGTCTGATCTTGGCCTTCTTATTGTAGTAAGACGTCAGCTGCTACTGGTAGGCTGCCACTCGAACAATGGCCTTTTCCCGTTCTCCTTCGAGCAGATCAAGGTTGACTTTCATCTGTTTGCAGTTTTGGTCAAGACTGCCCACCTCAATGCTCATGGAAGGGACTGTGATGTGTGGGGGGATGATTGCTTCTGTCCCATAGGCTAGAGAAAATGGTGTCTCGCCGGTTGATCTCCTTTTGGTTGTGCGATAAGCCCACAGGACTCCTGGTAACTCGTCGACCCGTTTTCCTTTTGCACCTTCCTCTCTTTTCTTCAAGCAGTCCAGCACGATCTTGTTGGATGCTTCTGCTTGGCCATTGCCTTGCGAGTATCTGGGGGTTGACAAGTGCTGTTTGATGCCATACTTCGCAAGGAACGCAGTGATCTGCCTGCCCACGAACTATGTACCATTGTCGGTGACTATCGACTGCGGGCATCCGAACCGGTAGATGATGTTCTTCCAGATAAATCGTTCGACATCAGCTTCCTTGGTAGAGGATAAAGCCTCAGCCTCGATCCATTTGGTGAAGTAATCCGTGGCGACGATCATCATCTCCTTGTTGGCAGGTGCTATCGGCATAGGTCCCACCAAGTCGATGGCCCATTGCATGAAAGGCCATGGACTGTTCTGCAGATGGTATTCCTCAGTTGGCAAGCCAGGGATCGGCTTATATCGTTGGCACCGATCACATCTTTGAGCATACTCCGTGGAGTCTTGGCGCATGGTAGGCCAGAAGTAGCCTATGCTGAGAGCCTTCTGGGTAAGCGATCTGTCCCCAGCGTGATTTCCACATTCGCCGTCGTGTATTTTGCAAAGAACCTCGAGCGTCTGCGGGTACTTGATGCAAGTATGGTGAGGTTCGAAGTATGATTTGCGAACAAGCATGTCACCTTTCATGTAGTACCTCACAGCCTTCTGTTTGATTTTTCGAGCCTCGGACTTGTCCTTGGGTAAGTTTTCGTCAACTAGGTAGTCAATGATGGGGTCTTGCCAGCTAGGATCCTCGTCGATCTGCATCAGGTTTGGCTGTTCTGCCTCTTCTATGCTTGGCTGGTCAAGGTGCTCGACCGGGATAGAGCGTCTGAACTGGGTATCAAGCGCTGATCCTAAGCTCGCTAGTGCGTCTGCGTGTGCGTTCTCTGCTCGAGGCACTTGTTGGATGGTGAAGGTAGAAAACACCTTCAACAGCTCTTGGACTTTGTCAAGGTACAAGATCATCCTTGGGTGCTTCGCCATGTATTCTCCTGAGGCTTGATTTGTGATTAGCTGGGAATCTGAGTAGATGGCCAGCTTCTTGATTGACAGCTCCTTTGCCAAGAGCAAGCCAGCGAGCAATGCCTCGTATTCTGCCTCGTTGTTTGAGGCTGGGAAGCCAAGTGTGATAGCTTGCTCCAACAAGGTTCCATTCGGAGTGATGATGACAACACCTGTTCCAGCTCCTTTTTGGTTCGACGCTCCGTTTACGCGCAATTTCCACATGTCTCTAGGTTGGTCAGGTTCATCGGAGGTCTTGTCTGCTATCGAACTTTCCTTCTTTTTGCTGACCAGCTTCTCTTCTTCGGCCGATGGCGTGAATTCTGCGACAATGTCTGCCAAAGCCTGGGCTTTTATTGCAGTCTTCGGCCGGTAGAGGAGGTCGTATTGGCTTAGCTCTATAGCCCACTTCATGAGTCGTTGAGACGCGTCAGGGCTGTGCAGGATTGACCTCAAAGGAAAGTCGATCATGACGATGACTCGATGTGCTTGGTAGTAGGATCGTAGCTTTCTCGCGGAAACTACAAGGGCCAAAATGAGCTTCTCCAATTTTGGGTAGCGAGTCTCTGCATCGAGAAGGGCTTTTGACGTGTAGAATACCGGATGTTGGGCTCCCAGTTCTTCTCGGATGAGAGCTGAGCTGACGGCTGAGTTGGACACCGCCAGGTACACGAACAAGTCTTCACCAGGAACTGGCTTCGAGAGCAGGGGGGGTGAAGTGAGGTAAGTCTTTAAATTCTGGAAAGCTTCTTCGCACTCCTCGTCCCATTTATCTCTTTGCCCCTTTTTTATAGCCTTGAAGAATGGTCTACACTTGTCAGTGGATCTCGAGAGGAATCGGTTGAGGGCCGCTGCTCTGCCCGTCAGACTTTGTATTTCCTTTACTGTTGAAGGTGACTTCATCTCGAGAATGGCCTTGATTTGGCATGGGTGCGCCTCGTACCTCGTTGAGTTACTAGGTATCCCAGGAATCGGCCGGACGATACACCGAACGTGCACTTACTTGGATTCAACTTCATGCGATACTAGCGGAGCAGGCTGAACGCCTCAGTAAGGTTCTTGATGTGGTCTGCTCGCTTGGGGGCTTTGACCAGCATGTCATCCACGTAGACTTCCATGGTATTGCCGATTTGCTCCTTGAATTTTTTTTTTTCACGAGCCTTTGGTAGGTTGCTCCGGCGTTCTTCAGCCCAAAAGGCATGACCTTGTAGCAGTAGGTCCCTCTTTCTATGATGAAAGAAGTCTTCGCCATGTCATCTTCGTACATTAGGATTTGATTATAGCCGGAGTAGGCGTCCATGAAGCTGAGCAGCTGATTGCCGGAAGTTGAATCCACGAGCTGATCGATTCTCGGCAATGGGAAGTTGTCTTTAGGGCAAGCTTTGTTGAGGTTGGTGTAATCGACACAAACTCTCCATTTGCCCTTTTCTTGCTTCGCCACCAGTACAACGTTGGCCAGCCATTCTGAGTAGGAGACCTCTTCAATGAAGCCGGTAGCTAGAAGCTTATCGATCTCGGCTTCGATGATCGCAACTCGCTCTGGAGCGAAGTTGCGTCTCTTCTGCACCACGGGTTTGCTGGCAGGGTTGACATGGAGTCGGTGGCAGATGATGTTCGGGTCGATGCCAGGCATGTCAGATGGCGACCATGCAAACATGTCTTTGTTCCTTTGGAGGAAGGTGGTCAGCTCCACCTTCTCGTCTAGGCTTAGGCGCGAGCCGATCCGCGCTTTTTTGTCTGGCTGGTCAGGATCGAGGGGTACTAACTCAACGTCTTCCTCAGGCTTCCAACCTTGTTCAAGGGAGCCTTCCGGGCAGATTCCCTCGTCTCAATCCTTCTCGTTTGGATTCTGGCACGAGCCGATCTGCGCTTCTTTGTCTGGCAGGCCAGGATTAGGGGGTACTAACTCAATGTCATCCTCAGGCTTCCAACCCTTTTCAGGGGAGTCTTCCGGGCGGATTCCCTCGCCTTGATCCTGGCTCCTTAATTGCTATTTTGAGATAGCAACTCCCTTCCTATTCGGGCTTGCTTGTCTGCTGGGAGTGTTTCCTGCCACGTCAGTAGCTTGCATTACTGGTGTGAACTGCAGCTGTTTGCTCTTCTTGAGCCCTTGGGCTGTGCATCTCCTTGCCATGGCTTGATCACTGTTGATCTGCCCGATACCGTATCCAGGGATGGGGTAGCGGATCTTCTGGTGTAGAGCAGATGTGATGGCTTCGATCTTGCTGATCCATGGTCGGCCCATAATCCCGTTATAGGGAGAGACCTCGTCGATGACCATGAAGGTTTGCGAGCAGACCACTGGGGGTGAGTAGACGTCTAGGTCAATTGTCCCAACAGTGATTGACGTGGCCCCATTGAAGCCAGTGAGTGATCTGGGAAGTTTGCTGATCTTGGGCTCGAATCCCATCTGTTGGATAACAGATAGTTGCAGGATATTGGCTGCGCTGCCCTAGTCCACGTGAACTCGCTCGATCACAGCTTGTTCAATTTGGATGCAGATTACTAGGGCGTCATTGTGCGGCAGATCAAGCCCGATCAAGTCCTTCTTCTGAAAGCCGATGATGGGTGTATCTGCAATGACTGGTACGCCCGTTGTGACTTGGGAGACATAAGTCGCCTGCACGATCTTTCTCTTACGCTCCTTGGTGGTCAGCCCGGACTCCTGGGAGTTAGCTAGAATGGTGTTGATCCGTATGACCTTTTGGGGAGGTTGCTTGGCAGCTGCATCACGATCCTCGATCTGCTGGATGACCTTCTTTGCAACGAATTCTGTGCAATGGCCGTCTCTGACCAGCTCATCAAGGTGCCTTTTCCAGGCGTTGCAGTTGTTTGTGTAATGACCATGCTCCCTATGGAATGCGCAGTACTTACTGGCGTCCCTCATAGAGGGATCTCCCCTCATAGGTCGTGGTCTTCTCACCCACGGCTTATTCTTCACTTGTGCCAGGATCTTGTGGATCGGGATAGTGAACTCAGTGAAGGTTCCTGTTTCCGAGCCTCCCTCTTGGGGCCGCGATCTGCGCTTGTCTCGGGCTTTATGCTCGAACTTGTTGCTTTTTTGGCTTGCCTACCTTGTCGGGTGATCAGCTTGCTTGCTGGCCTTCTTCGCCGCAGTACGGTCATCGTCCCAAAGTGCATAGCGCTCTGCCGTCGCGAAGACCTCTGCCAATGTTTGGCTTGGAGTTATAGCCAGCTCACGGTATAGCTCGTGTTTGGTTGGCAAGCCTTTTTTGAAAGCTGAGGATGCAACTTGGTCATTGCATCCTATGATGTTCGCCTTCTCAGCCTTGAATCGTCTGAGGTAGTCTCTAAGAGACTCGTCTGGTTTCTTGTGCAGGTTGAACAAGTGGTCTGTATGCTTTCTGACCGTCTTGTAGGAGATGTACTCCTTTGTGAAGATGAGGGCGAACTCCTTGAAGTTGCCTATCGACCCGGACGGTAGAGTGTGGAACCAGTCTTGAGGTGCTCCTCGCAAAGTCATCGCGAACACTTTGCACATTAGGGCGTCGTTTGCCTTGTACAGGATCATGGCACTCTTAAAGTGCCTCAAATGGCTCTCAGGGTCAGAGTCTCCCTTAAACGGAGTGATGGATGGCGTTGTGAACCGTTTCGGCGGTGCAGCTCTTTCCACCTCGTCCGTAAAGGGTGAGCAGTCGACTTGAGCAATTTCTTTGTGCAGGGCCTCATCCGTGCTTCCTTTAAGTTGGAGACTTTGGAGTCGGTCATTCACTAACTTCTCGACATCCTCTGCCCACAGGGCTAGTGGTTCGGGTCGATGTCTTCGGTGTCTCGAGCGCCGCTGGTTAACTTCCTCCTCGGTTCCCAAGGGTCGATCCTCTTGGTTGTTCTGCCTGTGGGGCAGATTAGGAGATTGAGCTTGTGAGGAGTCCTCTACGGCTTGTTGCCGTGTGTTGGTCCTCGAGCGGGCTGGTGAGCGTCGATTGTTGCGCTCGTCACGCGATTGTTCACGAACTCGAGCTCCTTGTGAGCCTAGCCTGGATTGGTTATTTCCTTGTGGGCCCAAGCGGGCGTGGACATTGGACTGTGGGCCCAGCCTTTTGCGTACATTGGTCCTTAGACCTAACCTCGAACGAATCGTCGACCGGCTCAGAGTATGACTTGCAGATGTCTGTGTCTCTCCAGCACGATCTCTTTCTCTCTCCTGCCCGTTTGCCCTTGCTTGACCAGCTTGGGACCTCTCGAACTGTTCGCTGACATGCTCGTGCGTCCTCGTCTCCTCGTCATGGGGTCCAAGGTTAGGGCCTTGGTTCAAGTTGATCTGCCTGAGTAGCTGGCCAATCAGGTTGTTTTGATCGTCGACTCTTTGTGTGAGCTGATCAACCCGTGAGTTAAGGTCCACCTGACCAGAGGTGTGCATCGGGCCCAATGGCATATGGGCTAGGGCTCCATTAGACGTGTACACAGGTGCATACGTCAAGTGTGGTGGCAGAGGAGGGAGGGGATGGATCTGCTCCAAGACAGGGGAGGCGTCAAAGTAGCCGTAGGGCTGTGTAGCAAGTCCGGCAGTTGAGTGGTGTGGCTGCTGCTGTGTTCCGACAGTAGGAGGGCGCGGCAGAGCAGCTCCAGTCGCTGGCGCTTGCAGCTGCAAGGCTGTGCAGGTCACAAGACCACGTGGTGGCTGTTCTGCAATTCCAGCAGCTGTCTGCGGCGGCTGTTCTATAATTCCGGCAGTTGGAGGTGGCTGCGAAGCGCTTAGAGGCGGACGCAAGGCGTTGGCAGCCACAACACCGTGAGGTTGCAAAGAGGCTTCCACCACGAAACCATGAGACGGGCCCGTCGTGGTTGTGTTACTCTTCGAACGTCTTGTATCGACCATGGTTGATTGGAAAAAGTTGTGGAAAATGAATTTGGAGCACGCTTTGAGTATAATTTCGCGCTCTCAATGAAAGCACCAATTTGTGGGAGCAAATTTCCTCCCACGAGAATATTTGCCTAAAGATTCCTTCGTCTTCTTCGTACCTCTCTCTCCCTGCAAAACAGATCGGAGTAAAAGGACCACACCCGGGGGGCGTT